ATCCCTGTGCAAAAGAGCAAATTTGTTATTAGAGAAAGCCTGCTTGGTCCTGCTGGTCAACCCCCACTCCTGGCCATGCTTGAAGTGTCGATGAAAATATCAAGTTAAGCTTTTCAGGAAAGTGGGTAATTGCAATTTGGGAAGGAAAGAGATGAGATTTCCTCTATAGGGACAATGGGCACGGTTTTTGGTAGCTGGAATATTCAGTGGCTGACATCAGAGAGGTCTAGGAGCTGTGCCTCAAAGATTGTATGGCTCAAGTTCATTTTCTCACCCTGTATTTCTCACTCCACAGAATTTTACATGTATTTCTGTCGTTTGAAAGTTACCCAGCTAGTGATAATTTCTGTTTCTCAGATATGTGCCTTCCTATGTTGTTCAAGGTGGTATGGAACTACTAGGCTCATGCAATACTCCTGACTCAGTTTCTAAATAACCAGGATCACAAATCTATATCCCAAGATCTGCTGGTAGTTTGAGATCTATTTGGAGCAGCAGCCAGAACTTGTGGAGACTATGGGAACTTGGGTCTCATTCATCCATATTCCACATCGATACAGCTTTTATTGAGTGGCTCTAACAGATTGGCAGCATTTTGTGACATATAGAGGGTTTGTCATATAAATTGGTAAAATGGACAACTGTATGTGTGAGGAATGGTTATGTGAATGGTAGGATCAAAAAGTGTTCCAAACCTTAGGCATGAAGCCGACATGCCTTCATTCACACAGGGCACTACAAATCTCTGTACCTCTCCTGAGAACCCTTTAGTTCCTTGATCTTCTGGGGCAGAGTCTTGGTCCAGAACTGCAGCCTTCTGGCCTTCAGGGCTCGGCCCACAGCAGGCTGGGTGTTCAGCTGCAGGTACTGCTCATCATGGTCCATCACAGGCCAGTGGGGTAGACCCTTGCTGTTGGGGTTCCTGTGGATATGCCAGCCAGCAGAGAAGAGTGAAGGTCACTTGATCCTGATTTGGCTCAGGACAGTGAATGAAGTAGGCCAGGGGGTTAAGGGACTGATAGGGTGTATGTCCTGATATTGGGATACAAGTGTGACCCACTAGTTCCTACTCCATGTGGGACAAGTTTACTGTCCCTCATGGCCTGTTTTCTGCCTCCTTCTCCAAGGCAATAGCTAAAGATCATTACCACAATACTGAGGCCCACCTGCCAAGTTACCGCAAGATGACCAGTAACAAACATATATAAAGTGTCTTAGTGTACTGTGTGTGTGTGTGTGTGTGTGTGTGTATGTTTGTGCACACATGCATGTCCAAGTTCATAGGGGCTTGTGTGCATGTGCATGGCAGCTGACTATGTGGTAAACTGCTTGCCAAAGTGTGCTGGAGGGTAGGGAAGACTTTCTCATGCAATAAAGGACCATACATCCTAAGGAGCTCACCATGCACAAAGGGAGTTCTGGACAGCAACCCACCCTTGCAGAAGTTGAGGGAAGGGCATCCTCTCACCCATGTCGTGCAAAGTTGGCCCAGTACTTCATTATCTTTCTGCTTAGTAGCTCCTCCTCCTCTGTGTGGGGAACTGAAGAGAGAAGGACAGGTACCCATGTCTCAGCCACTTCATGCAGCTTCCTATTCATGCTTCACACTCATCAAGCCAGCTGTAACTCAAGTCTAAACTATTGGTTTGGTTCCCTCCTTTCCTATCCCCACAATCCAGGACTAAGTCTCTTAGTGGATTCATTCCTGCGCCATTATTTTCTTATTACCAATAACACAAGGTAGACTCAGAAAGGTCCAGATTTCAACCTAATGTAGACTTTGAGCTGTGAGACGGTGCACACTGGGTTCTGTCTTTCTTCAAGGACTTAGATCCCTTGACTGGATTAAGAACTCAGCTATACTTCAGGTTTCCATAATGGACTCCGTCATGCTCAAGGAAATTCATCAAGACTCACGTTTTATATTACCGACTTGGTAGCCAAAGACAAGGAAAATTTCATCACCGTGGTCCGCCTTCACGTGGGGTGGCCTGAAATCCTTGAAGAAGCTGGATTGATGTTGGAACTCATAGAAGTAGACAGGAGCATGGGAACCTGGGGATGAGGACATGTAATGACATGGTGGCGCTTTGTCCAGAACTGTCCTGACACACATTTGTGACAAGATGCCTCAGTCTCAAATTATCTGAAATCAAGACAGTTGAGTGTGGAACCCCATCCTGGAGCACTGACTGTGGGAAAACCCACTGTTAAATAATGACTCTGCCCTCTCTGGGAGAGTAAGTCACAGATACCACTTGTCTGCTTCTGTACTGTTTCTTCATCTGTACTCAGATAAGGTGTCACCATCTTGTACTCAGAATACGGATTTACCAGTTGGTCATCTGAAACCAGAGATCCAATCCTGACTTTGGTAAGGCCTGGACACTATAGGGCTTGTCTGGGAACCACAGTTTTGAGCTTTCTCCCTCAACCTTGTCACAGGTGTACTCACGCTGAAATTGTGCTACTTGGAGTGCAGGAATCATGAACATGAAGTCTCCCTTCATCTCTCTGAATTGTGCTTGGAGGGTCTTGGGGTCCTCAGTGTCCCCCATGTACTCTTCCATTAGCAGGTCA